CCCAGATTGTTAGGGCAACATGCTGACTCTGTAAACTGCTTAGAGAGGGCCATAAGGCACTGTGAACCAGTATATAAGTCTAAGTGCTATAATAATAATAATAATAATAATAATAATAATAATAATAATAGTAATAAAAAGTTGGAAAGGACCTTGGAGGTCATCTAGTCCAACCCCCTGCTCAGGCAGGAAACCCTATACCATTTCAGACAAATGGCTGTCCAGTCTCTTCTTAAAATCCTCCAGTGTTGGAGCATTCACCGCTTCTGGAGGCAAGTTGTTCCACTGGTTAATTGTTCTAACTGTCAGGAAGTTTCTCCTTAGTTCTAGGTTGCTTCTCTCCTTGATTAGTTTCCATCCATTGCTTCTTGTCCTGCCTTCAGGCACCTTGGAGAATAGCTTGGCTCCCTCTTCTTTGTGGCAGCCCCTGAGATATTGGAATACTGCTATCATGTCCCCCCTCGTCCTTCTCTTCATTAAATTAGAAATACCCAATTCCATCAACCTTTCCCTATATGTTTTAGCCTCCAGTCCCCTAATCATCTTTGTTGCTCTTCTCTGTATTCTTTCTAGAGTCTCAACATCTTTTTTACATTGCGGTGACCAAAACTGGATGCAATATTCCAGGTGTGGCCTTACCAAGGCATTGTAAAATGGTATTAATACTTCACGTGATCTTTTTTTTAATCAAAATTTTATTAAGTTTATATAAGTGAGGAAAAATAGGAACAATACAGGTATGGTAAAGGGGGGGTTAGAAGAAAAGGGGGAGAGGAAGGAAATAAGGAATTAGGGTAAAATAAGGCTAGGTACAATCACATATTTCAACAAACAAGCAACCATCCGGATCATAATAATGAGTAAATATCATATTCAACCATTTTTAACAAAGCTTAGACTGTAACATATTAAAAACAATTAGTAAACAAATACGTTGATCTATTAAGTAAACACTACTAATGAAATCTCAAAAAAAAATCCTAACAATCAAAAGTAACAAATGAAAATCAAGAAATCAAGAAAAGTAATCATATCATCAAAATGTTAGTTAATTATTGATAAAAATTTTCCCAAGTTCTAAAATAAATTGAATCATCTTTTTCTTTCATTTCTAATGTTAATCTATCCATTTCTGCACACTCTAAGACAGTGGTTCTCAACCTTTCTAATGCTGTGACCCCATAATACAGTTCCCCATGTTGTGGTGACCCCCAAGTGGGTGTGGCCACCAATAAGAGGGAGTAGGACAGCTAGGGAAAAGGGAAAAAAATGGTGGACAGCGTGGTTTGGCGACCCCCGTGAAATGGTCATTCGACCCCAAATGGGATCCCAACCCACAGGTTGAGAACCACTGCTCTAAGATTTTGGTAATAATAATCTGGTCAGATGGTAAATTCTCATTTTTCCAAATTTGGGCAAATACTATCCTTGCAGCAGTTAAAACATGCAATATCAAGTAGTCATTATCTTTGCCATAATTAGGTCTTAATATTCCTAACCAAAAAATTTCTGGTTTAAATTATATCTGTAGTTTCATCATCTTTTCCAATCATCTATGGATCTTAGACCAATATTTCTTAGCGATAGGGCCTGTTCACCAGGCATGGTAATAAGTGCCTGGCTGTTGTTTACATTTCCAGCAGATATCCGAAACATTTTTAAACATTTTCGCTAAGTGAACTGGTGTCATATGTCATCTATAAAACATCTTATTTAAGTTTTCTTTATATGCTACCGTTTTTGTAAGCTTAATATTTTTATCCCAAAGTTTTTGCCAGTCTTCCAAATCTATAGCATATCCAAAGTTCTTTGCCCATACTATTATTGTTTTTTTCACTTGTTCTTCTTCCATCTTCCAGTTTAAAAGAAATTTATAGAGTTTTCTAATCAAATTCTTATCTGTTTTTAACAAAATTTTATCCAATGGTGTCTGTTCTTTGTAAAAACCTGTCGATTTTATATCTTTTTCGTATCTTGTTTGAATTTGCAAGTAGGACCACCATATCAAGTCAATACCTTGTTTGTCTGTCAAGTTTTCCCTCTTTGTCTAAAATGTCTTTATAACTAACCAGTTTGTCATAGTTAATCAGATTTGGATAAGCAAATGCTTCCGATTGTTGAAAGCCACTCAGGTATTTTCATGTATATTTTATGTTTAATTTTCTCCCATTCTGAAAGTAATACATTTCTTCTCGCATGATTTTGAAAGTACTTAAGTGCTTTAGATTTCTTGTACCATATAAAAACATGCCAACCTAGCTGAAGGTCGTGTCCCTCTAAGTAAAGCAATCTTTTATTTCTCAATACAATCCATTTTTTAAGCCAAAGCAAAATAGCCGCTTGATAGTAAAGTCTCCAATCTGGAAGTCCAAAGCCCCCTCTATCCTTAAATTCTTGTAACAATTTACATTTGATTCTCGCTTTCTTTTTTTCTATATAAATCTTAGAATCATTGCATTTAAATCATCAAAAAAATTCTTAGTAAGTTTAATAGGCACTTTTTGAAATGAGAAAATTAGCTTTGGTAAAATGTTCATCTTAACCATCGCTATTCTTCCTAAAAGTGATAATTGAAGATTTTCCCATCTTTCCAAGTCTATTTTTATTTGTTTCATTAATCTCTCATAATTATCTTCTTTTAGTGTAGTATATTTCGCCATTAAATAAATACCCAAATATTTAACTTTTTTAACTATTTGAAGATTTGTCATTTTAGCAAGTTGAGTTTTCTGTTTGTCTGTTAGATTTTTTGTTATTAATTTAGTCTTTTCCCTGTTTATTTTCAGACCATCCACTTCTCCAAATTTCTCAATTTTCTGCAGACGTTAATCAGCTGTTTGCAATGGCTTCTCTAGAATGAAGACCAAGTTATCCGCAAAGGCCTGTAGTTTATATTTCTGGTCTTTAATCTCCAGACCTTTAATTTTTGTATCTTGTCTGATATTTCTTGCCAGAACCTCTAATGTAAGAATAAACAACAGAGGAGACAATGGGCATCCCTGTCTAGTGCCTTTTTAAATCTCAAATCCATCTGTATAATCTCTATTTAAAAGTATTCTTGCTGTTTGTTTCTTATAAATTGCTTGAATTGCTTTGTTAAAATTTTCACCAAAGTCCTTTCTTGAAGTTGTTGAAACATAAATTGCCAATTTAAGTTATCAAAGGCTTTTTGTGCATCAAGGAATATAAGTACCATCTGGTTCCCTGATGAATTTCATAGTACTCCAAAACATTTAAAATAATCCTCATATTGTTCTTTATTTGTCTTTTTGCTAGCAAACCATTTTGGTCTGGGTGTATAAATTCATTCAAATTTTTTTTCATTCTTTCTGCCATTATTGCAGCAAAGATTTTGTAATCCATATTTAGTAATGATATTGGTCTGTAATTTTTAATTAGTGTATGATCAGTATCTTCTTTAGGTATCAATGCTCCCAATGAGAAACAAGATCAATTTTTTCAGCAATTATATGATAAACTTGTGGACTTAAACTACCATAGCTTGTGTATACTTGGAGACTTTAATGCAATTGTTGATCCAGTACGGGACTATAAAAGTCACAAACAGGAGAAAAAAAGGAAGTAATGTCTTACCTAAATCCTTTCTAAGAATGAAAGATGAACTCTGTATGCAGGACATTTGGAGAGAGATGTACCCAGAAAAAACACAATACACCTTTTATTCTAACAGACATAAATTGTGGTCAAGAATTGACATGATATGGACTTCTTTGGACTTAAAGGCCATGATACAAGAAATTGAAATAAAATCTAACATTTGGGCAAACCATAATTCAATGAAAATGACCTGGAAAGGACTTAAGAAAAGACCAAGATGGTCCCCGAATAAATCAATATCGAAAGAAAAGGAGTTTTTACAATTTGCAATAAAAGAAATGGAATTCTTTTTTAAAGTCAATAAAAAAGAAGAAACCTCCATTCAAATTGTATGGGACACGGCAAAAGGTTTGGCCGTAACTTATCTTTCTAAAAAGAATAAGGAAAAGAAACTTTTTCAACATAGATTGAAAGAACAATTCAGTATATCGGAAGCTGAATTACAATTAGACCCTCAAAAGAAAAAGTTGAAAATACGTGGTATTGATTCTATCCCTTTGTTAATGCAGCCCAGCACTATGTTGGCCTTTTTGGCAGCTGCAGCACACTGCTGGCTCATATTTAAATGATTGTATTGAATTACACATGCACACAGAGAAATGTGCATAATTTTAATTTTAAAAAAATAAGAAATGAACATATCCTCAAGCATACAAAGGAGTGCATTATAGCTGGCTATTGTGTTTATATAGTGCCATATAAAAATAAAAGTGATCAGTGGTTGCAAGACAGTATTTTTCTGAACATCTAAAAAAAATAGGGTTAGAAGAAGAACAGGGACTAGAGAAAATGGTGACAAATATTTTTGTCTATCCTGTTTAATGGTCCCATTAATTAAACAATACCATCTAATAAGAGCCAGGAGGTAGATTTTGTCTGTTGTGGCCTATCCTCAAAAACAGCATCTTCCCTGAGATCTGTGTGGCTCCTATTCACATTTTTTGTTTATCTTTTGACTTTAATTTCTATTGCTTTATTTTGTCTTCCTTTGTTATTACTTGGTGCAGAGTTGCTTACTAAAATGAAATAAAATTAGGTATATGTAAGCCACTATGACTCTTTCTTTCTCCCTCATTCTGTATGTGTGTGTAACTGTATCTACTTTGATGCAATTTCTGTTCAATAGAAATAACACAATGAAAATAACATACACAACATAATTTCTTTTATCATTTTTATACTATATGCTGTGATTTATGATTCAGGGACTGAATTAGTTAAGATAGTGTAGAAATGTAACCCTGTACAATTGTATTCTCTCTCTCTTTCTTTCTCTCTCTCTCGCTCTCTCTCTCTCTCTCTCTCTCTCTCTCTCTCTCTCTCTCTCTCTCTCTCGCTCTCCCTCCCTCCCTCTCTCTCTCTCTCTCTTGTGTGTGCCTGAAACAAATTCTCAAGCAAATTGTGCTGTCACTGCAACAGCCTTCTCAGTTGCCAAGCTCATCTTCGTACTCCCGAGAAATTATTTCATAATGGAGGATAACAAGAGGACAAGAGTTGAAAGTCAAGGGACAATATTTTTCTGCTGAAGTCGTAGGAAGGCTGGTAATGAGACGAAAAAGAAAAACAATTATTACTAAATAGAAAAAGTGCACAAAGATAATATCAATGACAAATTCACTTAGTCCAAAGGCTGCTCTGAAGGCTCTCTTTACTTACTCTGGCACATATAATCATGCTTTACTATTAAAATATTATATATAATTCTGTGCCTGAAGAATCTTGTCATCAAAGTGTTCCCATTTTACTGAATGCCAAGGGTAGGTATTCCTTCAAGACCATCAAGAGTGTGATTGAAATGTAAGCCACCTCCGACTCCTAGGGAAGCCATATATAGGACACTGCCATCTGCAGAAGCAAACCAAGAAGACAGGTATGGATAGGATGAATTAATGAATTAATCTGTCAAATTTGTTTTCCCTTACATATTAATATAGTTGATCTCCATTCTTGGTTAGAACACATTTGTGATATTGGTGAATATCTGTAGCTTGAGTGTAGGATGAGGATGGAGGTTCGTTCTCCGAGGTTGTGGGTTGGTTTCTGAACATTTTGTTACCAAGCTAGGTAACATCTCTAGCGGAGATTAGGGGATGTCAGTGTCAATGTTCTTCTGTATATAAGGGCTTTGTGTGATCAGTAGGTCTTGTGATGGTGATGTCACATCAGGTGAGGGTTATACTAGGTCAGAGTCTTGTGATGGGTCTTGTGGTGATTCAGATGTGGATGTGTCAAGTCTGGTTGGTCTTGTGATGGGCCAGGTGTAGTGAGAGTCTTGTGATGGGTCTTGTATTGGGGAAGTTACATCAGGTGAGGGTCATTGGGAAGTGAAGAGCTGGTAGTGGGACTTGCATGGGTTGGTTGTGGGTTGGTGCTGTCTCTGGTTGGCTGTTTTGAATTCTGAGAGGTTCGTAGGCTGGTTGTAGTCAATGTGTCTGTTGATGGATGCTTGTGGAGTGCCAGGCTTTAATGAAGACATGAGCATGGTTGATGATTCTTGAATTGCTCCAATTGAACTTGTGCTGTTTGATGTCAATGTGGGTGGAGATTAGAGATTTGGGATGTGGCATTTGACTTCCAGCCAGTGTTCATAGATCACGGTTTTTAGTTAATGTGATGCTTGTCCCATGTAAAACTGATTGTAATTGTTACAGTTGATTTTGTAAATTACATTGTTTCTTTCATCCTTCTGTATCTTGTCTTTGGTTCTGGATAACTCCTGGTGGAGTGTGGCTGTGGGTTTGTGGGCTATTGCTATTCCTAGAGATTGGAGAATTCTGACTGTCATTTCTGATACCTCTTTTGTGTATAGTAGGGTTAGCTTTTGTGTGGTGGTTGACTATGTGGTTCATTGTGGGTTGGGAGCTGTGTGTCAGAACATATTTTGATGATTCTCATCAAAAACAACCCATGTGAATTCATGGATCATGTCAGACGGATAGAATATTCATGCTCCTACTACTAGAGGTCATTTTAAAAACAAACAATTCAAAAACCTCAAGGGAATATTTGTAAATGAAAAGTAGTTATTAGTTTCTCATCTAGAATCATTGAGGTTGTTCATCAGTGCTTTTTTTCTAAAAAAAAAAAAAAGGTGCCGGAACTCACACATGTCATACAACCTGCCTTGCCTACTCTACAAGGTTCCATCCCAAAAAGGTGGTAGAACTCCGTTCTGGGCGTTCTATGACAAGAAAAAGCTCTACTGTTCATAATGGATTGCTTGTAGCATACAGTAGCAGCAAAATCACTAGGAATTACTTCATGTAGTTGATATGAATTTCAAGTGTTCACACCTAGAAGCAAAATATGGGATTTATTTATTTATTTTAATAAAAGAGAAATCAAAAAGTTAAAATAAAATAATGAATGGGATGGGATGGGATGGGATGGGGTGGGATGGGATGGGATGGATAGATTAGGCTAAAACAGAATAGAATAGAATTCTGAGGAATTAAATTGCTATGATATGATGCTTTGTAGATTTTTTTTTGACAGAAAAGAACTAAAATTAAATTTGTCCAATAGTTTCACTTCACATTTGGGAGTTCTTTAGCACTTCTGTTGAGTCTCACCACAAATATTATTGGAAAAATGCAGGGTTTTTAATGTAAACAATATAAGACAGAGAAAAGTGTACCATATGTCTCAAGATTGGCAAGACTCTCACTTAGATAAGAAATGTTTGTTAGGAAGGGATTCAGTTCATCTAAATCTACAGGTTTCCTACAGGGAAAATAAAGCTGTCTAACATATGTCTTTTAATCTGATGTAACTTAGTGAACTTTACTAAACAATCTACTCTAAACCTGCCATTCTCCTTCTAATTAAAACTAGTATCCTCAGGAGTTCACTGGAAATCTTATTAAGATTAAATCTTCAGCAGTTGCCTATATCCATTGTCAACTGTGATTTAAAAAGTGTCAGGACACTGACTGCATTGGAGCAGCTATTTGATAGATTTGCTGGGAACAGATGTAGGTAGCCATCAATCATATCTGATTCAGTGACAGAATTTTACTAGCAGACAAAGCAAATTTTTTTCATTCAAATGAGTACAAATCTCATTTGCTTATACAACTTTTTCTTTGTGTGTATTTTATACAGCTATGGCACTTGTCTGCTAGCCATTCCTAGGGCAAAAAGTGTGTGTGTGTATAAATATTATTTTTAAAAAACAGTCCTAACAACTTTTTTTGTAAACAAGACGATCTTAGTCAGCATATTTCTCTTTCTTTAAAAAAATGAATGATCACAAAGTTACCTTAAAGAAAAAGACTAGTTTGATTTCAATATTTGATTAACAGCATTAAAAATAATAGAGATCTATTATTTTTAATGCTGTTAATCAAATATTGAAATCAAACTAGTCTTCTTTTTCTTTATTATTCTTGCATAGATATGATGAGTGGAGTCCTAGTCCTGCAGTTTAGCATTTGATTTGCTCCCCAAAATTTCAGAAGAAGGGGAGAGATTTCTCATTTCTTAGCATCAGCTTTTCCCTTGCCTGTTGCACATCCTCTTAATAGCACATCCTCTATTAGAATCTTAATAGGTTCATAAATCACAACAAACAGTATGATGGTTTGTTTTCTTTGAATGTCACATAATATGTGAACTTGGCCATTGTAGCTAATACATGTGAATACAAATCATGGCTTAATGTGATGTACAAACCCAGTCAGAGAACCTTACAATCCTTCATGGCTCATAGCTTTCCACAGTCTCAGCAAGGACCACAGTCATCTCTTGTAAGATAACCTGAGATTAATGTTCCTGTTAATCCAGAAACGAGGCTGTTCCTAACTTGTGTCTCTTCAGTTCAACTATTTCTGTCCAATATCCTCTAAACATTGTCAAGACATTCATAGTCCTGTCATTCAAAACAGGTTCAGTGACAACTTTCAAGGATTCTCCCCATTTGCTATTCTTTCAAAGGATTAATTAAAAGTGGGCCCTGCCTGTTTCCATAGTTATTCACAACTAGCCACAAATATGTGTATTTGAAAGAAGAAAAAAAAAAAGACTGATTTCCCCAGAGGCTGTTTTACTTCACCTTTGTTTTCAGTTGGAGAATCCAGGCATGGTCAGTGACTAAACAAACCATCCATTCTCACTTAACTCAGTTTGGTCAGACTTCAGAATGACACGGAAACTGATGTTACATTGGACGTACAAAATAAACTAGCTGATGTGTTAATAATTAAAAGAGATATACAGATAACAAACCAAAATAGTGATATGGATATTTTTTTGATATTTTTACAAAAAAAATCATAAATTTACAAAAGAGTCCTGTTGAAGTTTTGAACAAGTTTGTGAGAAGGGATAAAGAAAAAAATGAAAAGAAGTCAAGTTCTAAGAGATTATTGGAGAAGACAATTGTTAGAAGTAAAAGAAAAGAATATAAAGTTCGCTTATTTGATCAAGTTTTAAATACATATGCTATCTCTGGTTAACCTTAAGGAATTTTGCTGACATTGGGACTGAAATGATGACGCTTTATAAATTTATTTATAGGTAAGGGATTAAATATAAGAAGAAGATATCATTTGTTGTATTTTAAGAGAAGGTGATAAGTTATTAAAATTGTTTATATTTGTTTTGATGAAGGGAAAAGGGAAATACATAAAGCTATTTTCTTTTCTTTCTTTTCTATTTGTCTTTCTATATTTTCTTTTCTTCACTTCTCTTTTTTATTTTTTTAATTTACATTAGTATTCATTTTTGTAACTATAATCTTTATTAAAATCATTATAATAACAAAGTATTAAGATGAAGCTGATGGCAGCTTAAATTATTACCTATACGAACAGAAGCCTTTGTTTCAAGAATGAACATCATCTAGACATGAAACATTATATGGCTTATCTGATGTTTTTGAAGGAGCTATTCATTTTCAATATTAGATCTCCATATGTAAAATCAAAATTCATACTGTCTGTCCCATAATTGTTTTTTTATGAAGGTACTATATAAAAATCTAGAGAACATTGAACAAAAGAGGTATATGAATGTATTGTCCATTATTCAACCCAAAAAAACTTGTTTCAAAAATATTTTAAAAATTATAGCCAGTGATCTTAATCCTCCACAGAGTTCCACACGGAATTTTCTATATGGATATTTTCTAACATTAATTGACATGAATCATTTGAATAACATCAACTTTGAGAAAAATAAGATATGTTTGGATGAGTTTATGGAACTCGTTAATTCTAATTTTGATGTTATTTGATATCAGTCCTTAGGTTTTGTTATTATTTGATATCAGTCCTTAGGTTTTTAACTATTTTAAATAGTCTGCACATTCAGTTATGTTTTTATGTATTATATTTTTCCTTTTCACATGGCATATTGTCTTCATTGCTGTCTTTAATACTGTGCAATGTTTTGAACTAGAAGACTCCAAGATTTCATCCAATTCTGTTTTTGTGTTATTTTCATTAGGTCAATTCTAAGTTTATAACTGAGATACACCAGGTCAAGAGCTCTGCTTAGTTTTCAAAATAGCATGTTGAAGGCCAAAATGTAAATGTGGACACAATCAGGATGACCACAAAGCAGGTTAAACTTCAGCTAAGCAAATATTAATAATAGAAACCTCCCCTCCTTTAGATAGCATTTCCTTGTATGACTTACAAAAAATCAATTTTACAGCAACTTCTGGACAACCTCTGGAGGCCAATTCTAAGTGTTCAAGGTTGTGCACAGTGGCATCCATATACATGTGTTTGTGTTTGTCAAAATCTGCAGAATGGCAAGTTCAGCATCACTTTGCAGCCCTGAATCTTTTATCCATGTCCAGGACATTTCTCTCAGTTAAGACTAGATAGCTGATCTCTTTC